GATTGTTGGAGGATTGGTGGGACATGGCAGCCCTGGAAAAGAATTAAAAGAAGTGACCAGAGAACCACTCAGAACCTTCTGCTCATCGAGCCATTGCAAAGACCTAGACCTCAGAGACAGGCCTTGGAGCTGGACATTTTCCAGCAATTGCCATGGCGGCAGCTGAGCGCCCACTTTGCGGGCTCCAGCAGCCATTTTGAACCAATCACTAGCCAGCAGCAACGGAAAGTTGACTGCAGAAACCCATGAATGACCACGGGCAACTCCAAAGAATTAACTTGGGATTTATTTCTTTTCCAAACCAACCTGTACACAAAATCTATTCCACCATGGTGCCCACAAAAGAATCAACTCAGGATTTAATTCTTTTTGAAGGGACCCAAATAGCAATAAAGTACCACATTGGGTAGGGGGCACATAAAAAGAATTAAATCCTGAGTTGATTCTTCTACAATAGGGATGGTACCAAGAATTAACTTGGGAGTTAAGACTTCTCAGGGGGTAGCTGATAGGTACCAAAAGATATAGAATTAACCCAGGAGTTGAGAATATTCAACTCGGGTATTCACTCCTTTTCCCATCGCTATCAGTTATACCAGGGACCTTCTTGCTTCACGCCTCTGGCACTAGCTCTGGGCGGGACGGACAGCGCTGTGCACATCGCACACTTCCAAGATGTAGCCTGAGCGCACATTTCGGGACAAACACATGTGGAACGAATTGCAAGATGTCCTAAAATGATATAACGTGTCTATATCTTTCTATTTTGCTGTACAAGGTCTGTGCCGTCACTGCTTGGAGGCACACTCGCCAGAATCAATGCTGACGCTGACGCAGGCTTGTTTGACCCCAGGACTGATTCCCACCTGTGTAGGAGCAGCCGCTCTGTGACATATTGAAACGGGAAACTTCTTGCGACCTCTGTGAGAAGCTTTTCCCCCGCGGATCGTTGCTCAGGTGGAAGAAACTTGAAGCGTGCCGAGAAGGCTCTGTCCTTTGCTGCGACATACTGGTGGGTGACATTCTTTTCCTTGTGTCTTCAACATGGGCAAAACACTGCTGAGTACATGCACGAGCGCACCAGCAAGATCATCACGACTTAATGCCAAGTGCCTTACTGCGCGTGAAAAGAATGATGCTCTGAACAAGTGGCGTGTTTTTTGGCATTCAACATGTCCATGGCCTCTCAAGTTAAGCTCGAGGCCTTGCTGCTCGTAGCAAGGCCCTTAGGCCTCGAATGCTAGCGCAAAGCGAAGCTCTCCAAATAGGCTACCAGTGACCACCATGCAGCTGGGGCACTGAGGCGCAAAGGCTTTAGTTCAGCGTTTTTATCCACTGCAGTTTTTGCTGCTTCACCTCAGGCTCGCGTCAAATCCCGATAGGCTGCACCCAAGGTAGTTGTGTTGTCACGTCTGTTGGAATCATGAACCGAGCATTCGACTAAAGGCCAAGAGTTTCTCGATGCTTTGCTTTCCCTGACTCAGATACTGTAGATTCTTCGCAAATGACACCTCTGGGGCCTGTGGTAAATGCATCTATATAAATGCGTTGTTCAAGCAAATCTCTTCACCAAAACATCGCTTGCACACCTATTCCAAAATTTTAAGACAGAACAAGGCAGAATAGCTTTGAAAGCAAGCATATTGTTCAGCTGCAGCGATTCCATACGATTCTGTGGTTGAACAGTGCCAGTACTTAACCAAAGTATCCTTTCGTACCACCAGCCACTGCCAAGGGTCTGGTTGGCCCTTGCCCAACCAGGCTCTGGCACCCCCGAATCTGTATCCTAGAGAGGAGCACCTCACCTGGGCATCGGTATCATCGACAGCAGCAATTTGGTGAGCCAGTCTTCGCCTAAAAGAAAAGAACGACACTCTTCGCCTAAAAGAAAAGAACGACACGTCGTCGTACACTGAAAAGTACAACCTGTACACGAATAAAACATAACTTCCTGGCTTATGTCATTCCGAGGGCAAAGGTGCAAACCATTTGTGTATGGCTGCTGCTAGCTTCCACTCAAATCAACAACGCGTAAAAGTACCTTCGTTTGTCTCAAGCTGGATGCTGAGATCGGTTCTGCTCAATGACAGGAAGGTCTGAAACGACATGAAAGTGGAAGAGTGTTGCCACCTTGTGAAATCGCATGTCTGACTACTCATGATCAGCCATTTCCGACGTGAAGGGTGCCGCAAGGCCTCACTGTCAATCCAATTTCGTGATGGGCCAGTTTGAGCAGACCTTCCAGTTCGCAAAGTCAAAACAGCATGAGAGGATCAAGTGCTCAAATCATTTCAACTCAGAGTTCAGCTCAGGTGTATCGCCGCACACTATCACTCGAAAAGCATGGTGAACCTCGAGCAGTGAATTCATGAACATAACAGGTCCCACAATGGTCACAATGCACAACGGCACAAGCATGCACAACGTATCTTTAAGAGACATGGTGGAATCCGAAAGCACCTGCCGTGCACCCGCTTCACGGAGGGCTGCTTCCACCTCTTTACCTCTCATTGAATCTGCGATTGAGATCGATTTGGAACTCATTCGGTTTGCCCGGCCTTTCTTGACCAATGTTTCCCAGTGATTTGGAGAACAAAGCAGCCTCAGTGTAGCCCCACCAATTTCGGAACATTCTGCAACACAGCATTGAACTGTTGCACTGAATCATACTGAATCCATGTGGAGGTTTCGTTCATCTGGCTTCTTTGCAGCTTCTGTGCAGTATTTTGCCATGCCGGTGAGCAACGTTCCATCTGGCAGGATGCAAGATCGATCGGCCAGTAAAGGTCCCAGAGTGGCATAAAGGTTTCCCTGCGGAAACAAGAATAATGAAATCAGCTATGAATGACATCACAAGAAGAAACATCTTACCTTTGTGACTTGGAACTCTCACTATTCAGCACCAACGCATGTGCAATCTTTTTCAATCTTTTACAATGCACTCGACCACCCCTCTTCCTTGGACAAACGGTGCACACCATCCAGAACGGCCAAATCGCCATAAATAGCCGCCTGGGTTGAATATGAAGTGATCTCAAAACATCCCACCCTTTTGTTTCCTTGCCTGCACCACCGGCGAATCTGCCCATCCAGTGTTTCCCCAGGGATCTGTCCTCTGTCTTTGCTTCAGCAGCTTGGCCAGCGAAAAACGCCAAGCTGGGACGCCACTGGACTCTGTTAACACCACGAAGCAAAGGTTTGGACGTTCGACGCTGGAGAAGGTCTCTGGAGCTCATGTCGCGGTAGCAAAACAAGTTGCGTGTCCTGGAAGAGCAGGGCTGTTTTGAAAAATAACACCTGAAACAATGAGAAGTTACCAAAAATGTTTGCTTCAGTCAATTTCTCCGTGTATGCACCGAAGGACTCAGTCCATGCGTCGTGCATGATTGATCTATGATGACTTACGCAGTGTATATACATATATATATATATCTCCAGACGGGTTTACTTAAGAATGTGAGTGTTTTAACCTCACGTGTACTTTCATAAGTCATTCCGCGTATTTTGGATAGTCCCTCTTCGGAATTTGTCGCTGCAAATACGCGTATTTAACGCATGTTTTTGTCGGTCGATGTAAAACACACTGTAATTACGACTTCAGAACTGCTCCAGGATTCTGAGGGTTTTGGTCAGATGATGTCGGATGGCACGTTAATAACGTTAACGTTCTGTTCAATTTGCACACCCATACAGAAGAAAACCGTCTACGCTACGCTATGTACACAGTGCGAGTGACCGAGGGTGGGGTGGCGTGGGTTGGGATGTTAACCTTCGGTTCAATTTGCACACCTAACGTTACACAATGCGACGCGCGCGGGATGGTAACGAATTGCACACCCATACAAAGGAAACTCTGCGCTCTGCACACCAATATCTGTACGCAACACACCAATATGTATACTAATATGGAGATATAGTTTGCTTTTATACAGACGTCTTTTTTTGCTATTTGTCTTCCTTCAAAAACCGTAAAAAACAACGTTTAAACACGTTGCGTTTTTCGCAAATGTGTCACAGTCTTAAGTAAGCCCGTGAGGATGTATATGTATATATATATTTATATTTATGTTTAACTTATATCTATATTTATATACCTGAGAAGGGGGGGGGCGAAAGCCAGCAGCCGCCAGACGAGTGTCTCTTTTTCTGGCGGGCATCGCGGCGCAAGACACATGGTCGGCAGCTTGCGAGTCAGCGGTGCCGCGGACGCGGGAGCGTATGAATGGTGATGGAGGGAGCAGAGAAACAAGCCGGGCGGCTTTGGGATACGTTTGGTATAAAAGAAGTAGTGAAAGAGATACGCGATACGTTGTATGTTGGTGTAGGTCATCATCGCAAGGCAATGGCATGTGTTTGTCACACGCAGGAAGGTATGCATCTAATGGAAGTTGGAAGGCGACATCAGCGTTAGCGAAGGGGAAATGCCGTCTGAGGTCGAGCGGCGGGATACGAAGTCCTTCTCCATAGTCAGCGCCGCCGCGCGCGAGTACGGCGTGCGTTTGAAAAGAAGCAGTTATGTGGTTGTTACATTTGGAGCGTTTGAAGTTTGCAATGCATACTGCGGCGCGTCGAAAAGCGGCGTTTGTTGATTTGGAAGAGTGAACGGGCGCGTCTAAGCTGGGACACAGACGTTTGATCCCGCGGCGCAGAAGGGGAGGTCCAGCAAGGGTAGGTGGGCTAGCAAAGGAGTGAGGATTTGTGTGCCTATCGATGCACATGCCTGGACTTGAGTGAGTCATGTTCTGGCTCGATCCAAAACACAGTCTTTTTCCTTTAAAGGGGCCTTTATTAAACGATCCAAACACATTCTTTATTCTTCTCTTTCTTATCAACTCTGCGCCTTTCTCACTCAGAGGCCTTGACTTTGGCACCTGCGCGTGTAGATCTTTGGGCCGTGGACCCAGGCTGACTGGATTCGGCCAGGGCTGCCAGCAAAAAGGCGACGTCGCGAGTCAGTTGTATATAGAACTTGTCTATCTATCTATCTATCTGGACCGGCAAGCCGGAAAACGTCTTTCGCTGCGTATGGACGCACGAGAAGCATCCACTCGACCGAGGACATGGTGCAAGTATAGTTTTTGCGAACCCTATGCGGATATGTATAGTGAACTTCCGAAAGATAGAATATTTTTCATTCGTAAAATTACGATTGACAAATATTCCATCTTGTTACCATCCCAGAGGTGGGTTAAGAGATAGAATATCTGGTTGTGTTTGTTTGCTGGTTCGCTCGTGGTTTGTTTGTTGTGTTTTTTGTTGGTTTGCCTCCACATTCCCATCACATTGCGCAGGGTCAAGATTGACCGACCATTGATCATTGGGGTAACAGTAAGGGAAAAAGATTGCGGCAGTCGGCAGCATGTCGGTCTTTTCTCATTCTTCTCTTGATTCATTCTCGGTCTTGAGTCTTGATTATTCCATCTCTTGATTGGTTGTTTCTTGATTATTCCATCTCTTTATTGCCCTCAGGGTGTCTGAGATTATTCCATCTCTTTGTCATTCGCAAAACAATATTCCATCTTTCAGGATTTCACTATAGTCAACCTCGCAGGCGCCCCCACCGAAACTCAATCCAAATTCATGGACTTGAACTCATGTCACTGTCGGTTCTCTATGGACTTCGCAAGTTACGGGTTGTCCTGGGAACTCGTGTCCTACATGCGGCTGCGGTCTGCTCTGTACGTGGGTCACTGTCTCCACTCGATTACTCAATGCCCATTGTCCTAATGATGCACTACTCGGCGTCCATTACATCACTCGCATCACCAGACCCCGTTTTCACTGCTTTTCTGACCCTCGCTTTGGAGCGCTCTCCCCCACCAAGCTCTGGGTTCACCCTATCAAAAGGTCCTCCTCAGCAACCACCCCCACACCCCCTTACTCACTTCGTTCGCTCTAAAAGCTCAAGCCTAGCCTATCGGCTGGCTTTCGTAATATTTATATATACACATATAATAGATTATACCAGTACAAGATTATAAACCAGTATCAAGCAAGACCAAGGACCAAGACCAAGTCTTTCTTCAGGCCTGTAGCCCAATATTGATGCGAATGCCTTGACCTTTGCTCTCGCGCAACATGCGCCAAGTTTCTACGTGTTTCTACAAGCTTCACAAGTCGCTGAGGTTCACACCACAGTCGATTTTCCGGAGCCCTTGTCCCCAACCAGCGCGATGTCCTAGAGAGTGCAGTTTCTGCAAGGGAGCAATAAGTCTAAAAATCTCAAGCACAGTTAAGTTGCAGTACTCTAAGATACTCGAAGTCTAAGTCATGTTATGATTCTGATGGGTTGCAGTCCGCGCCAGCTGCATGGTCCATGAGGATCTCAGACAGAAGGGCAGCTTGTGACCTGGAAGCATTCGAGATTGCCCACGGGATCAAGGAAGTCTTGGTGATGTCATACAGCGTCGCCAGTGATCGCTAAACAAGCAAAACTCTTCAGAAGTTCCAGGCCTTGTAAGTAGCACATTGCCAATATGCCTGCGACCAACAAGAGAAGTGGTCCAATGGTCACACCTGGCCTCACCTTCTGCAACCCTATTGATTCTGTGATTGAGAAACAACCACTCCGCTTCAAGTTTCGACAGGTGCACAAATCGAAAGTGTACCCTTGACCTTGTTTGGCTCAAGTTCGGAAAAGCCCGACGTGCTGGGCACCCCATGTCATAACCACAGGTTATGAGCCCAAGGTGACCTTTTTCTTTTTCCAAGTCCACCTCCTTCCGCTTCGTGGGCGGAGGAGTGCTGGTCCCCATGGATCAACGGCGGCGACGCCAACAGAGGTCGCGAGAGCGGAAGGAAGCAGCTGCCCCGCAGGTGGAAGTTGGAGCGGCAGATCGCCGGCTGGATGCCTTGATCGAGGAAGAGATGAAGGCGAAGGCGGCGAGGGCACAATGAGTGCCGGTGGGAGCAGCTGAGGTGAAGCGGCTGGGTGTGGCTGCTGGCGCTGGTTCTGGCCATGGAGGCCCTGCACGGGGGGCTGCATCGAGCGGCCACCAAGGACAACATGAAGTTCGACAGCTGTTGAATGACCCAAGAGGCCAGGCTATGGGACTTGGGCGTGTGCAGGAGGCAGTTCGGCAGTCATTTGAAGCGTTGCAACCTTCAAAGGCCAAGTTCCCAGCCGACCCTACTTGATCCTCTTCTTCGGCCCGGCGATCAGGGAGGTCATGCCGGCACCGGATTCGGAGTTCATCCAGGGCACGGGCTGGCGGCGGGCACTCCTTCGCGGCTACCACTCCGGTGGGACTGCTGGGGACGGTGAATCCCTTTTGAAGTGCTTCGGTACAGCAAGCAGCGCCGGGTATCTGAAGCTGCAAGTGGCCCACATCCTGCGCCGAGTCCAGGCGTGGGAAATATTGAACGTCTTCGAGAACGCATCTTGAGGGAGGCCGAGGAGACCTTCGCTCGGGAGGTGAAGAAGATGACGGATGCTGGAGATTCGGCCTCGTTTACTTCGGTGCCGAGTGCAAAGGCTGAGGGACAGCGAGAACCAATTGGGGAGCTTACAAAAGCTTGGAGGACAACCTGACACTCCTCCTGGTCTTGCTCCTGTACATGATCCTCGAGGTCGTGGAAATGGATTGAATGGGGCGGTGAATATGATGAAGCCGCTAGACTCAGTGACAGCTGCACTGCCTGAGGCAATGCGAAATTTGGAACTACCACCACTACCAGCACCTTCGACAGAGAACGCGGCCCTACTTTTTGGAGACTGGCTGACGGTGATTACTCCTTTGACCTCAGCAGGGAGTTTTGGGATTGGGTGCAACGGGAGGTGGAGGTGAAGTACAATGAATGGCTTTTGGCATCTTTTGGCGACACCATTGGGTCGGTTGAGAATCAAGGTTGAAGAGCAAGTGTCTCCACGGTTTCAACGTTGGATCAGCGTGCAAGCTCAACATTGTTGGCAGCGCTTCCGGAGCCGGTGAGAAAGGACATTGTCGCAAGTCGGAGGGTGGCTACTCAGGCTATCTTGTACAAGCTCTTCACCATCTACCAGGCTGGTGGGAATGCAGAAAGGGGCAATTAATTGCTGCGCAGCCTGACTGAGGTGAAGTGTGGCAGCTCCAGGACACTTTGAGCGCTATTCGAACGTGGCGCAGGTGGATTTGTCGAGCTGAAGAGTTGCATGTGGGTATCCCAGACTCAATGGTCTTGATTCAGGCCCTGTCCAAGGTTGCGGAGAACCTCACGAAGCATGGAGGAAGTCAAGTGGGATTCCGAATTGCAGCTG